CTTAGTTAAAGAAAATAATTGGAAGTGACTACCTGCCAATGCGAAACACATACATGATGACTAAAATATCATGACCAGGTTTCATTATATCTGATTACAGGACCGAAGAGTTGTAAAAAATTTACACTTTAAAGCACAACCAAAGCTCGGATGGTTCCAAGTTATTATTGTAATGCTTTTATTTATCATCTATTACTTACCAAACCTATTTGACAAATTGGAACTTAAACACAAATCTGTATGACTTCGTGCTTCATTGCACATGTTACAATTAAATTGTTTGTAGTGTCGGTTGCTATGTTTAGCCCACATAGCTTATTCTAACTTCCAGACAGACCAATATATTCATTCTTCTTGAGTCACGTTTTGATCTTGTTAATTATTCGCTTATCAACCCTGACTGTTTTTATGTGAGCGTATATGTGCACTTCTTATCCTATTCATCACATATCTGTAACTTGTTTTTATCTGGCTAAATATCGATTCATGTTTGATTAAATCGAGTTGGATCACACGCCTTCTCCATTGCGCGTCATTTCACTTTGCTCTATCTTCTTCGCTTCATTCGCTGCGATTCTCTGATTGTCTGTTCCGATCAACGAGTGCACAAAATATACATATTCAAAAATCCATTCTCGTATTTGACTTATTTAATTCCGTTATTCACTAACACGACTTAAGTAGATGAAAATATACGACGGTAGCCAGGATGCATATTTCGACAGTAATCATTCAGTAACGATCATTCGTCAGATCTAAATAGAGTCAGATATTCCAGAGCCACTAAACGTTTATCACAAAATCGATATTTTGTTGTAGATCAAGTAAATAAGTCAATAATTAATCTGATCTCAAAATTATATCACAGCCCATCCTGCGCTCAGTATTTACTTGGATGAAGAAACACAACAGTCTGAATAGCACGTGACTTTTAATTACACGTTCTTCAAAAACAATAATCCGAAAAATAGTTGATGTTGAGAAATATTTCGACATTGATTATGTTCCATCCAACTACGAATGTTATCAAACCAATATTATTTATTTCAAAAAGAACCTTATACTTAGGTATTACCCTAAATATATAAATCAATTAGTTCACAACAAGTCAAATCATTTTTTTGAAATAATATTATCAAGAAAACATTGAAATAGATATGTATATATAGAAATACCAATAAACTTGAGTTGTTAGGTTCCTAATCAAAGTTCTTAGCGTTTCGAGTTCGATCTCATGTGCAAGTTGTAAATATACTCTGTTAATAAATATTAAGTTTGGACAAAATTATTAAAAACTCTTCTTTTGTTTTTCAACGTTTCTCCAACTGACGCTAATTCGTAATGGAAACTGTCATATAAATCTATTTCATTAATTTGAATTTCATGAATGAGTATTCATTTAAATTTTACTTTATTTTAACTTTTGAAAATAATTTAGAAAAAGAATTTTACCTTAGTATACTAATAGATTTTAACGCATACAAAATTTTCAATAGTACATAATACTTTTAGTTTTTAGGCAAATTCATGTCTAAGTGCACATCTATTGTTATCTGAAAATCTAGCTTGTACATTTGCTGAAATAGATTTACTTCTTGTTGTATACAAGTATTTTAGTTTACTTAAATGATCCATAGGCTCATTTATATTGTTTATGCATGTGGGAATAATATACCATAAATACCTATAGTTATAATCAATAAAATGAACATTTCAGTTACAATGTGGATTAAATACATCAATATATGATGTAATATTTCACCTTTTTTTGAAATGTCTACTTTCAGCTACATAATAATGTTTAACAATGTTCCAAACATTCAATTAAATCCATTGTCCAAACAAGCAAGAAGGATTATCTATAAATTCTGAATTTTATACATTTTTTGCTTCTTACAAGTTTCATTAAAATATTTCTCAGTTAATCAAATGTCTATATGTATATAGTTCAAAACTATATCTGATAAGATATATTAGTAGTTGTATTGTTTTTCTTGACTATAAACCTGTAAAACTATGTCTAACTGTCAAACTTCAGTGATTCTTCGATTACCTAGAAAGTTTTATGTGCCTTAATAGGAAACGATCACATACACCCTGGTGAATTTAAAAACCTATTGTATGTAAAATGTTTTCCTGTGATTTATGAATTTATCAAAGTTTGTAGTAGAGTTTTCATGTTAAAACTAAAGTGAATTCCATGCGCAAAAACCTCTTCATATGAATTCAAATCATATTGCCTCTAGATCCGAAACAGGAGAGTAGATGGTTCTATAAATGACCCTACACTAGCTACTATGTTGGGGGCATATCCCCTTTTGAATAAGTAGAGAGAAGAATGAATCATGGGACACGACAGACATCTACTTGGCTAGATATAGGACAAAGCAGCTCTTTTTATCTTTTATAACACTACTAGCATTTATTTGCTTGAAAAGTAACCACGAATAAACGAAAAACGGACTACTTATTTACTTACCAGGACTGATTATGTCAAAATGAACAAACATAGATTTTTACATTTGTACAAAGTCACTTCTATTTATGATGGTAAAACAGGTTCGCCCTAATCAATCCCAAGTTGGCCTAGGTATTTTAGAAAAATATACTAATCTGAGTTATCCCCTAAGGGATTGATATTTAAACTTCGAGTTAAAGTCTTAATCTTGGTTTGGGAATATAGTATAAATTGACTGTGGGAATAACTTATTAAGGTGTATAGCAAATGGTCTATTTTTACGTTACATTTCGCAGCCAATGGCGGTAGTAAAAGCTTTTCCGTACTTACTTATGCATGTTACCCCTCCTGGAGGAACATAGGCCGCTCAATATCATTCCCCATCCAACTCTGTCCTGGGCAAATCCATTTCGATAGAATAAAATAATTTCGGTGATATCAGTAGGAAGCGTAAATACTTTTTGACACCAACATAACTTAATTCCTAAAGCTACAAAAGTTTAAGATTCTATGTAAATACACTAGAAATGGCAATAATACACTTTTGACAGAGACGCTTCTTGGTAAGGAAATTTGTCAACTGTACAAAACGGATCAATTAAAATACAACCAAATAGACACATACTAAATAACAACTCAAATAGAAAATTTACGTCAAAGCAACCAGTGCCATTACATCAAAAGCTTCTTCTGCTCCAGTTGATCTCAATGAATTGATTATTAAACGGTTTATGAATACAATAAAAGGGCAGGATCTTATGTACGATGTCAACGACTTATAAAATATAAAAAATGTAAGTTGGTGAAGAATATGATATTGATTCGTCAAATCTGCTTGGAAATGAGAATGCATATGCAAGCGGAGTAGAATAACTTGGCTGATAGGTGAAAGGTAGACAACAGTTATCCATATCGTTAGCTAAGACAAGTATTACGAATTCTTTTCTTCACAGCATAGAATCACATAACTGTTGCTAAAATATCATTTTCTTAAAGAGAAATTCAAACCTACTACACACAAATACCAAACTAATAGTAGGTAGAGAATAAATCATTATTTATAGATAGTTATACCACAAGTGGTTAGCATGAGTTATGAACTCGATAAGGATTACTGTATCCCATTTAACTTAAATTACTACTACAATTGTAAAATCGAATTAGTAGTTATTAACAGTTAAACTATAAATAAGAATGACAGTTACTGATAAAGATACACTTTCGATCCATGAGAAAAAAAATCTATAAACATAAAACTACCTTGTAATCCTTCTTCTAACCTTCTTATTTTATCCATTTTATCTCCTTTTTCTATCTTCAATTTAAGAAAAGGTAGTTTTATCACTTTTGTGAATGAAACAGTTTATTGATCTGCAGTTTTCTTTAAAAAAAGGTTTTATTGTTAGGACTTAATAAATTAAACAAATATTATTATCAGCAACTGTTTATCAAATATTTATCTTACTATTTATCTATCACACATTATTAGGAACAAGGATTTAACGCATATATATATATGTCGTTTATATTTAAAGGGGATTTATTATTTTCACATAATATACATTATATATATACATAATAAAGATTTAAGCTGAGTAGAAAAAATTGCTGATAGTTGATCACCTTTCATCTATTAGTAAATTACATGCTTTATTATAAGGACGATAGAATTTCAAATATACCATAGTCATAACTTAGCTATGCCTGGTTTAATCATGAAATATAGTTGGACTATCTGCTACTTACTATACCAATCTTAAATGCACAGTTTTCTTTTCCCTTAATAATTCCCCACTCTTTGAGTTTTCGGTATCTTTGCAGTGCTTGAAGATTGGTTCATCTAAGGTTTAATATTTAATTTTTGGTTATATAAAGATATTATAGACTTATTCATAAACAATGGTTAAGTCGATAATTCCAATGAATCCTCCGACAACTTTTAATTAATATCAGAAGGGGTTTTGTGGATATTATAGTAATTTCAATAGTTGAGATCATGAATCAATTGAAGCTAGACCACCATGGAAGAAGCGGAAGCACTGGACGTCCGTTTGGTCGTATTTTGGGACTTCTCAGCAGTGCGTATCCACGATCCCGCCTCGTGAGATTCGAGCCCAAGACCAATCATTCTCGCGCGCGAGCGCCTAGCCACCAGACCACTGAGCCGGCCGGCATCCAACGGTATTAATGTCTAGCTCCAACTAATCGACAAAATTGAGCGACACATCCACCATTGTCATCAGTGAGTTACTATCTCACTGATGACAATGGTGGATGTGTCGCTCAATTTTTTCGATTAGTTGAACTTTTAATTAGTTAGAAGACCACGGAAGAATATAAGAGGTTCCGCATTTCAAATATTCCTCAATTAAAATCATTTTAAGTTAGCACTTGAACACTTAGGTAAAAAAAGTTATGCCATCAACAGTTTTACGATTGTATGGTACTTAGGAAATTAATTAGAACTGAAGCCATATTAAAATTTTGAACTTTATTTTATTCAATAAAATAACCGAAATATAAAATTCACTGAAATACTTACTTCAGATACCCATAGACGTCCTTGATTTTTATTAAATCGAAATCCCCAAGGTTGAAAACGACCTAGACGTAATAATCTAAGATCGAATTCTTTTTCATTAAGAATTTGACTTGCAAAACGATATAAATTCATTCAAAGAAGTTCTCTCTCTTTATATATATATATATTTGATATATGAATAAGTGTGAAGATAGTGTTTAAAGAAATATTATCAACTGTGAAATAAATTCAACCAATATATTAACAAATGATAATTATTACAGTTCATAATATACTTGATGAATCTTTAATGATAGAAATATTCATATGGATCTGTCATCATTTAAGATAGAAATTTGATCATTTCAATCAGTTTATATATCATTTTGTTTGTTTTTTATTACTAAAGTCAATGTTTATTTACTTAGTTTTAAATAAAAATAAAAATCTTTTGAACCCATCTTTTACTTTTTTTTCATATTTTAGTGCATAATCTTGATTTGTCAAGTATTTAACCAATAGATTAGACAGAAAAGTATCACGTGTATTTATAGTTTACACAATATTTGAATTCCCTTTAATAAAATATTTATTTATTTATTTATATTCAATGGATTGAATAGTTCAACAAATCACTATATTTGTTTTTGTTAGTTAATTTAAAATTACATTTTATAATATTAGATAATCATTTACAATGTTTGTTCTACTTAGTTATTCATTAATATTCTGTAAACAAGTATGTTTCTTTGACAAGTAGTTCATGTAATCAATGATTAGACTATAATTTATGGACGACCTAGATTGACCTTGAAACTATTCACTTAATAACTAAGACTGAATGAGGATTATAAACCTTTGTGAGGAATACGAATTTTGATTTACAGTTGATGGTTAAGGTTAGTAATTATATTTAGGGTTTTCATTACGGACTGACATCAGCTGTAATGTCAAAGTGGTATTTAAACAAATAAGTAGATGAATTTTGCACCAAAATTCGAAACCTGTTATCTTTTATCTGATTGGTTCGTCCATAAATTATAGTCTCGCCTAATCAATGATTATTGTCTGGAATTACAATTATAATAGTACATTCATCTTTTCAAGAAAATGAAATTAGAATCACATTCCACATAGGATAGATTTTACAGACAATAAACATGCTGAATTATACGCATATTAATTTAAAATCTGTTTTTTAAGTGTACTTTATGACATCTGATGCATTTTTCATATTGATATTAGATATTTTTAGTTCGTATTTCAACATATTTTAAAGTTGTCACTTGTAATGCCTAGCGTAAATAAATAATTGAATTGAATAAACGCTGACAACCTATTCGGTGGTTTCGATTGAAGTGTTCTGATTCTTGTAATAACTTTTGAAATATCAAATGAAATGTATCGCTCAGCTTTGAAATCACAGATATGATCGTTAAACATCTGTTATTGACTACTCAAATGTAAACAGTAATTAATATAAAGTTATGAAAAACTAGGTGTAGACGTAGAAATAGCAATGTTTCCATAAGTTTTCCAGAATGCAAACTGAAGGATCGCGATAAGCACTTAAACACTAAAACTACGAGAGTAACATCCAGTGGTAAATATTCCCAACTCCGATCAATTCGTGATGACTGTTCCCCTCTCAATATTTCTGAACTACACTGGTTATGACATTTCACCAGAACTTCAAGAACGTACATCCTAGTTAGTATTTAAGTAAGTTGAGGATTAGTCTATATATGGGGGTTATGTGGAGAACCCAATCCCAAAACCTTTAACTCGAACACGTTAATTAATCCAGTAATCAGCACAAACGTTCTTGAAACTAAGGTTATTACAATTTTGAGGGCTACATGCAAATGAGATAACGAGTTAATCGCAATGGTTTAACTATCACATTTCTGGAACACATTCCCAAAAAGTAACAGTTCAAGCAAGATATTCATGTCGTTTACATGTGTTCGACCAAAGATACGCTAGTATTGATCTCTATGAACAGGTGTCAGGTACCCATAATAGGGTCGTCGCTTACGTACTTCTGAACATGTTTCTATCAATTTATCCATCAAACAATTTTATGAACATTTTTCTTTTTTTTTAAACTTGCCAAACAATGTTTAAAAATTTTGATGTTTAATTTACCTTTTAAAATATTAAATTCTTGTAATGCACTTTGATGTTTCATTTCTAAAGATACGGCGTAAATTCATTAGCATTTGAGTACCGTAAATCCTTTTAACAATTAACCTAATTCAATTTTTGGCAACGACCTAGTTCTGGTTATTTCTACACCTTGTTAGATTTGTTCGTCTTGCTGAAACGAGCTTTATGTAATATTCATCTAACTGTTCCATGTACTGCTAAAATCTTGCTACTGAAACATCCTGATCTAAATTCAAAGTATTTAACTACAATTTTGAACAAAAGAATCTACTTAATACATTACAATGTCATTTGTTACCAATTTTTATGAGTAAATGATCTACTTGTTCCAATTTGATTTCTCCTCTTAGAGCGAAGGAACTTGCCGATCTCTATTATTTCGATGTGGTCAACGGTAAATGCCTCAGGTGAATATACGTTATTTTCATGTTCATTTTACATCCTTTTTCTTATTCATTTATTTGAAAGGCATACTTTCTTTTTAATTATCCTTTTGAATAGAAAAATAACATCCAGATAATTTACGTCATGAGCTTTGTGAATTTTATGAGTATTTTAGTCTTTTATTACTGTATTGTCTTTCTGAACAAATTTTATTTTTTGGGGTTTAGCTGGTTTGTTACATCCAATGAATCAACTGTTATGCTCTATAGAAAATTATAATTTAGGCGGTTATACCATCATAGTTGGAGATTTAAGCTTTAGTGTACTGAGTGTACGAACAATTGTTGGACAATACTTTCCCCAATATCACACCGTAAATCAGAAATGTTCTGGTAGACATTTTCTATCGGTTTGATTTACAAGCTTTACACTAAACTTTTAGACTAAAAACGTATAAATTACACGTTAGCAATAAAATTTCTTCACAATATATATATATATATATATATATATATATATATATATATATATATATATATATATATTTGTTTTTACCAAGAATAATTATACATGATAATATTCTTAATTCGAAAGAAATGAGAAGACAGAAGATAGCGTGTGTTTGTCGAAGCAGGCATACATGAGAATTATGCTGTATATATATTATTTATGTTTGCCATGCTTTCTGAATGGTTTTCCAGGTTTAGAAGTTCTACTCTTATTCTTTTTACTATTATTACTATTAATGTGACTTTTCTCCTTTGTGTTAGAAATATTTCTACGTTTCTTCTGCTTGTTAATGCTAGTTGACATGTAATCATTTTCATTTGTTTGCTCTCCAGGAACAGTTGACATTGCATTCATAACTTCTGAAATTTCTTGCTTTTTAGAGGCAGGTGCTTCAGATGCCCAAGATGTTCGTTTTAAACCAGGCTTAGTAGCTATTTCATTGATATTGGGTGTAGGCAAATCGTCAACAGCTGTAAATATGGTAACACCTTTAGATTTTACACGTTTTCTCATTGACTCCACTGCCTGCATTCAACAAATAAATAAACGAATAAGTGTATGATGGACAAGTTAATAAATATTTTATGAAATTAATATTAGTTTGCATAATAACTATAAACTAACCTGATTCGCTCTAAGAGATGCCTCTTTTACTCCTATATTTAACTCCTCAATAGCTTTTTCTAACTGTTTATCTACTGAACTATTTGGTTCAACTAATGCAGGAATCCTTTCATGACCAAGACCACCAGCAGATATCAAGTGCGATTCAATCTCCTTCAAGAAGAACGTAACAGAGTATTGGGTAAGTAATGTTAAAGCACAACCAAGGCGACCAGCTCGAGCAGTTCGTCCAACTCGATGCATGTAGATTTTCGCATCTAAGGGCACATCGTAATTCACCACTAACCCTACTTGTGGAATATCTAAACCACTGGGTAAGAAAGAGAAATGTATCAACTTTTCAAGATGGGTATTCATTTATAATAGTAAGTACAAATAACAAAACAAGCTATTAAAGCTTAAGAACCCTTCAACATCTAATGGATCACTAAACTAATTATTTTAAGATGTCTATCAGTCATAATTGGGAGAATCGCCATAATAAATAAACTATAACAAGGCTATATACTATGAAAAGATGTTTGCGACAGCTTTCTTAATCATGACTGAATAAAGTGTAGATTAGTGTATTCTGCTCGACCCTGATTGTCCAAAAGGGAAGATAGGATGGATTTTTTGAACCTGCAAGACAAGAGTCTGTAGTAATAAAATACTAATTCAAATGTTTAACCAACTAACTAAGTACTAAAGAGGAGTATGTATGAGTAAAAGAGAGTAAGTGATATCAGCTAATAAAATTATGTTTAACACTATTAATAGAACAGCTATATATTTCTTGTTAGTGAACTAATCAAGGGCAAGAGTTTTTACGTCTTAATAGGAATCAAAAACTGTATGTGACTGTAACAAACTAAGTTGTAGATGGTGAGCATCGGTCAGTTGAATCAGAAATAGATCATATTACAACACAACTTGACTAAAGTTGAAAAATGGTAGCTTTCTTTAATCAAGTCTGCTAGTGGCAATATCCTTAACAGAAAATACGAAAGTGATGAGTGCGATGAAGCTGTTAAACAAGATGAACTATATTGAGCATTTGTTAATACTCTAAGCTTTACAATAGTTTTTAATCGATTTTAATTCAAACTGATGATTTACAAACAATAATTTATGCTTCACAGTATACACTAACTTGAACATAAATGATGTAGATAAGACAACTGTAGTTATGCAACGTTAAATTATATGATGCGTAGTAATTTGAACTGACAGATGGAAAAATAGGTGTAAAATTGCTAGGTTTGAAGAGGTTACGAGTTTACTTAGGCTGCGAACGGAGCAAAGACTCGATGACCAAAGACAAATAAGCTAGCTCTATTCGATGCGTCCCAGCCCCGCTAACTAGAGGAAGAAGTCCAAACTTGGAATGGGGAAGTATATTCCGCAAACAGCCAGAAAACGAGCGATAACAACAAACACAAATCAAAACGTATATATACAGCACAAAACCATCCTTGGAGAGAGTTACAAAATAGCATACTAAAAGACACAACGGACCAATGGCATTTAAGATTCTCCCAAGTGGGAATACGACATGAAGGTGAAAAGAGCGCTTTTGGCGCGAAAACAAAGAGTTCACATTTTCTGGATAAAATTACAAAATTGGGTCGTTTTCTAAGTGAGTTCTGGGATTCTAACGTCCCCAACAAAAATCAACCGAATAAGCTAGAAAACAGGAACAGGAACTGAAAGTAACATCCGAATTCTAGTGCGACGACCATCCAATGCTACTGGTGACAATTACTACCTTATTCTCCACCAGTGACGATTTCTTCACTAATACTTCAGAAACATCCCGAAGTAAATTAATGGTGAGCT